CAGCCCTTTGTTTTCTGCATAAGGACAGCCAAGTGTCTTCTTCCTCATGCCCTGGGTTGCCTATGCCTTGCCATCTTCATGGCTTGGCTAAGAGCCTATCCTGAGTTCCTAGAGAAGGCCTGCATCCCTTCCAGGACCCTTGCAAAGTCTCAGAGCATTCTGGGGAATTGAGGAGGGAAGGGCTTTCCCTTTAGTTTCTACCCCAGATGGTCTCTGGGTCCTAATTATTTTTGCTATTCTTTCTCCCTGTGGTTGTCTTCTCCTGGCTGGCCTGTAGTTAGAGACTCCTGCCTCCCTTCCATTCCACACCATCTTACACCAAGGCTGCACAGTACCTGGAAGCTTGGAGAAACAGACAGACTGCGACATGGGGCACTTGTGACAGTGAAGAGACGCGAGTATTCACTGAGCACCTTCCCCAGGGAACTTCTCCAGCTCTCCAGATGTGGTTCCCAGCCTGCATCTGCCCACCCCAGAGCCGCTCACTTTCTCTTCTCTCCAGCATCAGCTCCCTACCCCTACCAGCCTAGTAGTGCCAGGGACACACTTTCCAACTACGCCACTTTGCGAGGCAGATGGGTCCTCTTTCCCATCATTCCTTTTCATTTAAATAGAAAAGATGAGGCTGTTGTCTAGAGAAGCCTGAAAGCTCTTCAACAAGGGATGTGTTCCTGCCGGGATGGAATGGACAGCCCTCTTTGCTCCTGCAGCAGGACTCAGAACACTGCTGTCTTCTGTTCAGCACACAGCAGATTGGCAGACGAGGCAGGAGAGGCTCTGAATTTCCTTTGCTGGCCCTGAGCTGTAAGCAGCCTGCCCTGAGAGGCATTTTGTGGGTGGGAGTGCGTGCCATCTCCACTCCTATCTCTGACAGGCTAGTCTGGCTCCTGCCTGAGCTCAGCAGTGAGCAGCCTCACCGGAGACAGGAGACAGCGAGGATGACAGCAAGGATTCCAAGGCCCCCCGGCACTTTTGGGGGAGCTAGCAAGGCAGGGAGGGTGGGAAAGACACCTGTGTGAATGGGGAAACTTATAATGATTTTAATCAGCATTTTCCTTCCATTTAAAACCCCAAACCTAGCTACTTAATCAAATGTCATGCTTAAGACACATTTACCTCCTTTGGAGAAAAATGAACAATGGCAGCTCAATTTGGCTTTGGATGGGTTTTAAAAATAGTCAAGTCTGGGAAGGCCATTAGGTAAATGGCCTCAGAGAGCTTCAAGGAGGACCTCCTGCAGGGCTGCCGCTCCTTTGTTGAGAAACTGGAAAGGGAGAGGTGAAGACGGCAGCCTGTGGTGTGCTGGGCACTTCCAGGCCTGGATATCTGCCGGGCAGAGGAGAAACTGCCCGGAGAGGCCCTGGGCCTCGCACAGACAGCTGCAGGAGGAGGCCCTGCCTGTGCACACCGGGGCCGACAGCTGTGTGGGTGTGTGTGGGAACATGCATATTCGTGTTTGTGCCTGTGTGTGTGCGTGTGCACCTGTACTGCAGCACAGAAGTGCGCGCACACACGTGTGTGCGCATGTATGTATCTGTGTATTAGGTGGAGTGGCACGTCCTTCCCCCACCCCAGCGAGCTCTCAAGGAGACAAACAGATCAGCAAGCTACATGAGAGCCTGGAATTCTAGGGAACAGGTCCACGTGGGGAAGTGGAAGTGTTATTGTTTTTTCACCTGTAAAATAATCTGGATTTTTTTTTTTAACCAAGAGGTTAAAAAAGCAAAGAAATAATACACAATGGCTTGTCTTGGGGAGGTTTGGATGCGAGTTATCCTAGGGAAACTAAAGTTGTGGGCTGAGGTCCCAGGTCCTAAGAGGCCTGATGGGGGAAGGCTCTCCTCTCAGCCTAACGGAGAGGTCCCATGTGTGTTACTGTGTTCTGTCCATTTTTCCTGGAGCCTTCTGTAGTCTAATATTCCCATCTTTCCTTGCTTCTATCCCTGTCCTGTTGGTCCAGCCTCTCCCGGTTAGGATAGTGTCTTGAAACATGGGCAGGAGAATTCAATCTGGGCTTAGTTAACTCTCACTGAAGTTGAACATTTTCTCAAGTCATAATGGCCGGTGGCAGGCTGAAGGCTGGGTGTTACCAGTGACACCAAACACAAGCCAACTGCATTTTGTCGGCAACTTAGGTTGCATGTGTCTCAGCGTGCATCTGGCTGCCAGGTTTATTGGTGTTTGCACTTGCTTATTTAATGATCAACAACATGCATTTTTATTTCACACATCTGCTGCAGTGATCCTTCTCTGGGCATGTGCTGGGGATTGAACCTAGGATCTCAGGCTTTCCTCCAGCTGCATCCCAACCCTGTGCCATTGATCTTTGAGAATATATTTCAGTAACATCGTAAGTTTAAGGGGAATGCATTTACCACGTTCTAAGAGGACAGTGGGTCTTATAAGTCTGTGGGAAGGTCTGGAGAATAAACAGGATCAGAACATCACCCCCAGCTGCCCAGGCTACGAAGTCTCCCCAAGGACTCCTCGGGCTGCTGGAGGGTCCTCCCTTGCAGCACCCCAGATTTTCCGCTAGGTGGCAGCAGTGCAGGCATCTGCTTCTCGGTTAGTGACTTGATCCAGCGAGCTCCGTTAGAACCTCCCGGCCTCCAAGCTTTGTAGGATCATCTCCCTCCAACCCTTCAGAACCAGGCCTCAAGAGGACGACCCAGAAGTGGCCAGGCAATGACAGTGCTGAGTCAGCCAGCTGGACCACAGACAGGCACAAGGCTAGCAAAGGCTGCACATGTGCCTGGCCAACTCCTTCAGTTCAAACGAAGACCTCCAGAGGGAAGGGACTAGACAGGAGTCTTCTAGATGAGAAGCCCAAGAGCCAGAGAGGTTGCCTGACACACCTAGGACCCCAAGACAGTAGCACCCCGTACCCAAGCCAGTCTCTTGCCATCAGGCTACTCTGTTCCCTGACACTTTCCTTGGGTCTTGAGAGGGAAAACGGAACCACCCTTGTCCTGTCCGCCCTGGGTAGGAGAATCTCCAGCCGCTACAAACCTTGTGCTGGAGGCTCAGAGGGAAGGGCCTGCCTGGGTGGTCTGGGACTCTGCTGGCTCCTTCTCCTCCACCAGCAACGATCCCCGAGGCCTCACCCTCTCGGAGGGGGCGACTGCCTGGCAGAAGCCACTGTGAGCATCACTCTGCCACCATAGCTGGCCTCTCTCTGCTGTCCTGGCTCTGGCGCTCCTGTCCAAGCAGGACGGTGGCTGGCTACCGCTCACTTCCCTGGCCCTTGACTTTGCACTCCTCCCCCATGGTGTGTCGAGTTCAATGTTGGCTTTTGTCCCTACGGATCCTAGGGGACTCAGCAGCTCTGGCCTCCATGGGAGCCTCTGCCTCTGTGTCACCTCTCTCAGAGGAAGAGGACCTTAGAGTGCCTGTCTTTCACTAACCAGCCAGGCGGATAAGACCAACCAGGTAGGCACCCGGAAGTGCTGGGATTGGGAGTCGAGTCGACAAGACACAGGAGAGAGCCAGATTCAGAACTCTCTGGCTCCGAGAAGGCAGCAGTTGCCATAAAACGAGGAAGGAGCAGGACACGGCTGGAGGAGGAAGCAGGCTACAACCTTCCCCTGCCTGGACAGAGGCCAGGCACGAGCGATGAGGGTCCCTCTCTGTCCCCCTCGCAGCCCCTTCTCATCACCGGTGCCTTGCAGCTCCGCGGAAGGAAACTTTTCGCACAGCCCCAGCTCCTTAGTCCCGTGAGAACATTCCCTCCCCAAATCATCCCTCCGCGTTCACTGGGTGTACTTAGAACCGGGTCCGAACCTCTTAACTGCTTCGCTTGCCATCTGGTTACCGTGGCAACACCATCCGGAGGCGCCCGGCGGTCCAATCGGAGCCCGCGGCCTCTTTCGAGCCTTTCCCAAGGTAGAGACCAGGACGCGGCCAGGGATGGGGAAGGGGTGGGCCAGGCTCTTGTCTCTGGCGCCGCCCAGGCCACTCGGAACCCAGGACGCCAGTCCAGCTAGAGCGAGGTGGGCTGGCAAGCCAAGCCGGCCGACCGGTTTAGGGGCTCCGACTCCAGGTTGAGGGGCGGGGAAGGAGGGTGACGTGAGCCCGGCCGGGCGGGCGGAGTTGGGACCGGCTCACGGAGGCGGGGGCGAGCGCTCTCGGAGGCAGACGCGCGGAGGGAGGCGGCGGAGCGGCGCGGGCGGCTCTGCGGAGGGCGCGGTGGGCGCGGGCGGCGGGGCCCGGGATCCCCGCGCGCCTCCTCCGCGCGGCGGCGCCGCCGCGCGTCCCCACGCCCAGCGCTCCACGCGCCCTCGCCCCGCGCCTCCCCTGCCAGCCTCCGGGCCGCGGCCGTCTGCAGAGCGAGCGCTCAGACGGAGCTCTCCTGCAACTTGATCCACGGCGGAGCCCGGGGCAGAACCCACTCGACCCGGCGGCGCGTGGGGGCCACCCTCTAGAGCCCTCGGCCGCGCGGATCGCAGCCTCGCAGCTCGGGCTGCAGGCTAGACCCTCGCCCAGTGCGCCGAGCCGCCAGCCCCGCTGTCCGCAGACCCAGAGGGCGAAGCTCCGCTCCTAGGAGTCTCGCGGCCGGCGACAGCTCTGAGAGCGTCCGCCCCGCCGCCGCCCCCGCCGTGTG